CTTCTCTCAAGCGTCTCTCAAGCGTCTCCGCTTCTAGAGCTCTCTCTGTCTCTAGAGCCTCTCCGCTGCTAGAGCCTCTCCCCCTTCTATCTGTCATGGAAGCCAGTTTGACACGTTTGGATGGCTAGCGTTGATGGGGTTCCTGTGTAAACACCGGGATCCAAATGGCCGTAATAATCGGTTTGAAAACGGCACCGGGGTAACCAATTCCGGGCCGATGCTGGCTGGAATCCCTGCAAGGTACATTACGGTACAAGGATTTCAGCCGGTTGGAATCCCTGTGGAACTGGCTGAATTTAGGCTGGAGGGTCAGGGATCTCAGCCAGGAGCAAGCAAGGGGGATATGTTAGGCCAGAGCCTTCATATCTGGATGCATCGTGGTCGTACTTCCGCATGGACAACAACTCGGTGGTTTTCACCCACACGGGATGCGTCAAAGGCCACGCCGCAATGTCTCGACTCGAAGAGCAAACTCCCGCAAGAAGTCCTCAAGTGCATGCTGCCCTCATCCACACCTTTTGAACAAGCATCCGCACACAACCCTCCAGGAACCAGTGGCCATGCGCTGGTGCACAACCAGTTTGTCCTACACACGCATGTGTTGTATTGCAGTTCAAGAGACGGGAACTTGCTGCTTGTTCAGCTCCAGTCTAAACCGAAACGTTGTCAACATGCACTCAGGACCCCCCCCCAGGATACATTCCAAACCCCCCCCAATGTATTCCACTTACCCGCGGGCCCCCCCTTGGATACATTAGTTAGGGACCCCTGTCCTGTAAGCTCGGCAACCACTAGCTGAAAGCTTTGCCACAACAGGGTTTGGCAATAGGCGGCATGGGTACCAGCACCTCGCCACGGTGGACCTAGCCTCCAGCGCCATCCTCCGCTTCCAAGCAGCACCCCAGGCAAAAGCTTGGCTTATCGCGAAATGGAGCATGATGAACCACCAGGCGAGCGCCCGCAGGCCTGCGTGCTACGCGAGACCATGCACAACACCGCAGACACCATTGAATCCATCCAGACAACAAACTGCTCAGCAAACTACAGCAATTATGGTGTGTTGCCATACCCAAAGCAAGCAACAAAGCAACACAAACAAACCAAAACTCAATCACCAAGTTTCGAAACCAAGCATGTTAAATCCACTTTTTGCGTAAGCATTGTTCAAGCAGCCACGTTCAGCGTCTACGCGGTTCACATCTGGAATGTTTGCGGGGCTACCACACAGTATCTTCATTTGTGGAAAAATTAGACATGCAAAGATAGCATGTCGAGACCGGCTGGCCCACCACTGTCGGGAAACAATGCGTGCAGGGCAGTCATACAAAACCTGCGCCACTGAGTCGGTGATGGCTGCAACGTGTTAACACATTTGTGGCGCCTCGGGTCGACACGGGGCAACGCGGGTCTGGGTTGACATTTTTAACGACATTTTCACGGTGCGGAGCCAGATGTAGCCGAAGTTGCAAGGCTGCCCATGTGCATGCTGAGCCGACTGTGCAGCAGATGAGCGCGAAAACAAAACAAACGTGGCAAAGGCCTGCTGCTTGAGAGGCGTGAAGTGTCGGCATAATAGCAACCTTCGGGTTCAAACTGCAACATGAGGGCTGCCATGCAGCCAGACAAGCAAACGTCGAGCTCATTGCGAGCTTAAGAACCCCAGGTGCCAACACTCGCAGATGAAGGAGGGCAAGCAACGGCGCTCACACAGAAGCAAGCCATGTGCGGTGACCTCCATGCGTGTTCCATCCGAGCAAACACGGACCACAAGAAGGTGCTGTGCGCCTGCACACACAGCCAACTTTATTTACGCAACATGGTTGAGCCTGCGACTGCGCTCTGGCTTTCGTGCTCTTGTACACTCCCTGGAGCTCGAACAACCCTGAGCATCCCATATTGATTACAATCAATCAATTTCGCAAACAGATATTGATTTTTGGCGCAGCGCCAAAAATCAATATGCAAAAAAAACGACATATTGATTAGCATATTGATTAGCATATTGATTAGCATATTGATTAGCATATTGATTAGCATATTGATTAGCATATTGATTCGCATATTGATTCTCATATTGATTCTCATATATGATTTTCATGGCATTTTCATGATGGATGTGCATGCTTGGAAAAGCATGCATAATGCGATTGATTTGGCATATCATGTGCTGCAGTGCATGTTTTTGGAGTGATCGAATTGCATGCCCGCCGCTGCCCGCCGTGCTCCCAGCGAGAGTGTACAGTTCAGAAGCAGTCCACCAGGCAAAAGCATATGTTTGGGTAGGCACAGCACTCTACAAACCTTAAACCAGATCGGTCAGCAGGCCGGCAGCAGCAGTACAGCACTATGCAGGCAGCAGAGCAGCCAGAGCAGGCAGAGTAGGCAGCGAAAGTAGGTAGGTAGTCGCCTTCCTCCCCTGGCCTTCCTGCGAAAGTTTCACCTGCAACAGCAGGTTTTTTGGTTCTCTTCGGAAAATATAGGCTTGGGAAAGCCTGGATTGCGAAAGCCCAACTGTTACTTCATCGGTTTGGGAAAACCGGTTCGGCGAAGCTTGGGAAAGCTTAAGCTGTCCACTTGGGAAAGATGGGCAGGGGCGGGGCAAGGCATAGTCCGAAGCCCATGATAGACTCCGGGGTCCTTTATACGGCCCTGAAGCTCTATCAGCCCATGGTCGCCGACATGGGCGCTTACGAGCGGATAAGCAGCAGCCAGGCCCCGGACTGGAAAGCCCTGGTGGGCCTGGCGGACCTGTGGAGAAACCTTTTGAAGGTTTCTCCAAGTGGGGAGGTCCATGCCCAGCCCCTCAGGGCGGCTCTGCTGTCGCTCCTTGCACACTGTCCGTCGCTCAATTCCTCGGATTGCAGCGGACAGGTGTGGGTTGGGCTAAGGGTGGAAAGGATCAACTGTCTGTTGACCCATCTTCGCAAGATAAAGCGAGATGGAGAAGGCGCCTTGGGAAAGGCAGCAGCCAAGCTCAGCAGACAGGAGTTCCAGCATGCAGTTGCTCACCCTTAAAGACGAGGAAAGCTTGGAAAAGCCCTCGTCCGCCCAGCCGGACTTGGGAAAGTCGGGGCCTGGCAAAAGCAGAGACTTGGAAAAGACACCCAGGAAGCTTAAGAAGCGGGACAGCGACGACGTGTCGCTCAACAGCTTCGGCCTGCCACGAATGTTCGACAGCCCCCCAGCCTCGAAGAAGCAGCGAGGAGAGCCCAGCTCTTCGTCCAAGGACCCCGGGGTTGGCTTGGAAAAGCCATCGTCGAGTTTGGCACTTGTCCCCTTTGAGCCGGACCTGGTCTCCAGGAAAAGAGCCGGGAGCAGGGTTCCGGCAAAGCAGGAGAACCTTTCTGAGCTCCTGGGCTACTCAGCCCCTGCCGAGGAGAACAAAAAGAAGAAACGAAAGAAGAAGAAGAGGAAGCTGCTTGGGAAAGCAGAGGCGGCTGAGGCAGAAGCTGCCGAGCCAAAGGCTTCGCCGAAAGCGAAAGCCAAGGCTAAAGGCAAAGCGAAAGCCGCCCCAGCGGCCAAAGCGAAGGCGAAAGCGAAGGCGAAGGCAAAGGCCTCCCCGAAAGCCAAGGGAAAGGCAAAAGCCGTGGCGGCAAAAGGCTTGGAAAAGCCAAAAGGCTTGGAAAAGCCAAAAGGCTTGGAAAAGCCAAAGCGGAAGCCATGGCTTGCCATCACAAAAACGAATGCCAGCAACCCTCGCAGGGCCTACTTGCTTGGCAGGACAGAGGTTGGCGAGAAAATGCGGCTTATTATTGAGGTGTCGCAGTCGAGATGCCCTGCCTTCGAAGGCATCATCGACGAAATCAAAGCAACCTTGGAAAAGGAGCACCTCACTAAGGAGGAGGCCAGGGACCTCCGTGAGCACCTCTGCAGCCAACATGGCTGCTGAAGGACGTGTTTGGAAAAACACTAGCTGCCGCTTCGTTCTTTCGTTCGCTACTGTGGTGGCCCGCTTGGAAAAGCCTGGCCTCTGTAGGTCCTGCAGAAACTTGGAAAAGTTTTTAGGGGTAGGCCGACCGCTTTCGACTTTCTCGGCCTCCTGGCTGCGAAAAATTGAGACATGGAGCTTGATTTTCGTCTCTTGCATGTACGTTTTCGCATGTTCACATTTTTTGGAACGTGTGCATGTATATATATATATATATACACGGCAGTGCGAGGCTCCGAGCATGCATGCATGGACCATGCAGGACAGCATGACACAGCAGAGCACACAGACAGAACACTTTCACGGAGAGAAGCAACTGGGTTTCTTCAAAGACCTTGGGGGTCTATATGTGATATATATATATATATATATATATATATATATTTATTTCCACGTTTGAAAACGCATGCATGTTCAATCAAGTCAAGGGTTGCAGAGTTGAGCTTCGTAATGACAATCACCGATGCACTCACAGACTGCTGCAAACACTCGCTCCCTTCATTTTGAAACTCGATGCGGGCATTGGGGTAGCAGTCGCATAGAACGATCGGCTACCCAGAGGAGCACGCAATGGCATCCATCTTGAATAGCACGATCACGTGTGACACTGGGGTGTGGGCGGGCGGGACAAAATCCACACATTGGTGGAAATGCTTGAAGGTGGCCCACCCAACCCTCCTCTGAGAGATAATGTTTCGGCGCATCACAAGTTCGCAACGAGACGTGACAGCGACCGAAAAAGAAGCATGCTTGGTTTCAAAGAAAACTTTAAAACCATTTCAAAACGTAAATAAGGGTTTCGTCCCTCCGGGACCACAACCTTATTTCCACGTTTGAAAACGCATGCATGTTCAATCAAGTCAAGGGTTGCAGAGTTGAGCTTCGTAATGACAATCACCGATGCACTCACAGACTGCTGCAAACACTCGCTCCCTTCATTTTGAAACTCGATGCGGGCATTGGGGTAGCAGTCGCATAGAACGATCGGCTACCCAGAGGAGCACGCAATGGCATCCATCTTGAATAGCACGATCACGTGTGACACTGCACCACCACCCGACTCGCAGCAGAGTCAAAGCGGGAACGGGCCCGACACTTGCACACGAGTGGCTCCCAAAGAAACCAACTGTGCACAATCGCCGCGACTAGGTGCGTCTGCGATGTTTGAATGGGTTGGCACACGACCAAACCATATCCGCAACCTGGAAGCCTCTTCAAAGTCCAAACATCCATTGAGGATGCGCGCACCTGCAGCTGTTCCGGATTTGCATGCAACGAAAGCTCCACGAGCAGCTTCGTTATCAAGATACATCACCGTGTATGAGTTGCTCAACAAATGCGACCAGGCAGAAAGAGCTGCCCACACGGCTAGCATCTCGATCTCGTAGATAGGATGCTTCGATGCTGACCGGAGTTTCTCAACTGACGAGGCAGGCAAGTTCAAGCTGAAATATGACAACGCCTTTCCAGAAGAATCGAACAGTGCTCCTCCGAGTCCGGCGGTCGAGCCTTCCAGACTTCCGTCGGTAAAAATCAAGAAAGTTCGGCCGACTTGTCGAGTGAGCTTCACGGGCTCAGCATGCAACGCAACATCCTTCAAGTAGACCAATGCTTCTCTTAGCTCTGGGTCAAGCTTCGTTGAACTTCCAAGGCCCTTTGCACGTCTGCTCAAAACCTGTAGAGCAAGGCACGACCTGCGTCCAAACAAGAAAGAAGCAAACCAGTGGAGCTTGCCTCTTAGTCGATCGGCTTCGGGCTGACTCAAGCAATCACTATCCAATACACTTTGGAGACTGGCACTGAGGGATGCAATTCTCTCAGGCGTGTGTTTGAGAGTGACCTCCCCCGAGCAAAAATTTTCAAGGTCCACCAAAATCCCTAATGCTTTAAAAGTCTTTGCGAAAGGAACAGCTTTGCGACCTTCACAAGCGTACAGGATTCCCAGCAGACCGAAGAAACGATCTACGATCCTGTCGACGTGGGCATGCGCAGATGCTTTGCAGAGACAAGGGTAATCGTCAAAGTAATTAACCCAAGCCAACCGCAAAGCACGACAGCCTAGAAACCAGGATGCAGCTGACGTTCGGAGGAAGCCAGCCACTGATCCAGTGGCGCCGAACGGTAGAGAGTTGACACCATAGAGGCGCACAGCGCCAGTGTCTGTGTCGCGAGCTCCAATCCGCATAATGGCCCTATCCTCGCTGTGCACTGCATACTGCTTGTATGCAGCTGTCAAGTCGAACGTGCGCCCCAAAATCGGGGTAACGAGGGACCTGGCGTCCTTCATAGCACGCACGATCAATGCGCACAAGAATTCAATGCCATGAAGTCGGAAGCGCTCAGGAAGGCCAATGGTCTGGTTGTAACCCGAAGATTTGCAATTATCGATCACCCTAACTTTGTCGGTCTGTCTCAAGCCAAAGCGTCTGGCAATCAAGACACCACCTATTCCAAGGCACGCGGAGAAGTCCTTAGTGCAACCACCCGATTGGGCGGTCCGAGCAGTACAACGGGCTGCGCAGCAAGGCACTTCGAATATCCAACCTCGGTCAACCTCGGCTTGTGTTTCTTCCCAGGCACGTTGTGTGACATCATCAAGCGGTTGCGAACGAAGCTTTGCCAATGTCGCCAAATTCCGGGGTCTGGCTGAGGCCAACTGTCTCTTCATGGTGGTGGCTGGAGGCCTAGCCTCAACCGGATAAACGCCTGTTCGGAAAACCCAACCGGACAACCGAAAACCCTCTCTCATGTGGTCAACCACTTTGACGTCAGGGTAATCATATTCCTGCAAGAGTTGCTTCAGAAGTTCAGTGTTTTTACCTTTCAGGACTTCCTGCACGTGGGGAGGCCAAGACAAGCGAGCCTCATCTTCAACTGATTTCGTTCGTTTGGAGAGAGTCTCCCACTCAAGCAAGCGGTCCAGGGACTCGTCACAAGGCACGTCACCCAACAAGTTTTCAACTAGCAAATCAAGACTTGGCACATCCTGATCTAGAAAACATTTTGGGTGCCCAGCTTTCGAGGCCTCGGAAAGGAAGTCCAAGGGTTCACGGGGAATGCCAATCCATGCGACTTCGACAGTCTGATCTGGCAACAAGGAAGCTTTTGCCCCGCAAACCTGCACTCCATCGGAAACCACAGACCCTGAACCAATCCGCCAATCCTGAAGGAAAGACCCAGGCAAAGGTGACGAAGTGGAAGGCACGTGGCAAACCTTAATATCCGCCCCCTTGCAAAGTTTGCGACGGACAATGCGAGCACCTTTGGGGTACAAAGCCAGGATACGAGATCTATCGGCGTCGAGCTCGGGCGCCACACTCCAAGCGTCATAATCGCGAAACTCCGAGACTAAAGCCCTCTTCCGGCGGCCTTGTCGATCCAAGGCCAACCGCAACAAGCTGGAATGAGGCCCGTACAAAGAGGCAGAGGTAGAAGCCCCGGCAGACAATTGAGACAACTGGTCACAAAGGCGGTGACATAGGAGCCAAGGGTAGGCTCCTCTCTCAGACGGATGCAAGGCAGCATCTGAAGCATGCTTATGTGAACCAGAGCACTGGATGGCCAACGGCCCAAAGAGGTCAAGAGTACTGGACAGGCGAACCCGTCGATTTTGGTGACCTCCATGCATGCACAAGTCGAAACTCACATCTCGGAATCGCGAGCTGAACACAGGGGCCATCTGGGCTGACGTCCAAAGTCCTGATCTCGCAGGGTTTTCAAAGGAAATGTGCAAGCCGAGTTGCAAGGCATGGTCCGTAAGCCGTCGCAGAGCCTGGCATAAGCAGACCATATCTTCACCTGACAGACTGAACGGCGGAGACAAATGAAGAAGCGTGATGCGATCAACTTGTTCCGAAAGAATGCCACATAAGAGATCGACGTCCTCGGAACTACGAAAGTCCCACGGCTGAACCGGAAATTGGGCTCTAGTGCCGCTTTTGTCGAAGGCCAGGACGTCGAAGCCGCTCTTCTGCAAGGTCTGGGCGAATCGCGCGGGGCCGGCGAACACTTGCAACACCAACCCTTTATCACCTGCCACGGCAGATGTTGTCTTAAGGTCAAGGCAAGGCTTACAACCGGGACCTACAACAGGCAAGGAAGGGTTTAAACCTCTAATTAGTTGGAGATCGGCAGCGGGCAACTTCTCGAGGCCACGCACAGAATAAACGACGAGGACCAACCTGGGACCATCGGTCCAGTCACATGTCTCGTCATCCAGGGTGGGATCGAAAGTGACTGGTTTGGTGGCCACATCAAGCAGGATTGCTCCATGGTCAGTATGAACTTTGATGTGCCCACCTGAGAAACGACTCAGTGCTGCAACTCCATTTTCCGAACCGACCAAATTGCCGCTGTCGGAGTGCAATGAAGTTTGGACATTGAAGAACAAGCTGGCAGTCGTGAAAGATAAACCGGGAAACAAGCGAGCTGCTAAGCTGAAGAGAAGCTTCGACGTAGCCGGGTGGCTAGTACAATGCTTCCTCAATCCAGACAAAGGACCTTGCCCGTAAACACCTGTCGTGAAGGATTTCTCTGAACGAGCAAGTCCAGAGCCTCTGGCCAATCTTTCCGATGGCAAGAGATCCATTAACTCGAGAAGTTGAGCGTCCGTGCACTCCCCGGCCGCCAAAATTCGGCGCGCCAGAGTTTCGGCAGGGCAGTCGTTATTACTCTCGAGAGTGGTGCAGGGCTCGAAAGTGAAATGCATTGGGCTGCCAACTTGTTCCGAGGTTGACCCGGAGCCGCCGAGGCCGGCATCAACGGGATCAACACCAGACTTCTGGAAGCTTTCGGAATAGCACCCGGTGGCGGGCTCGCCAACGCGGGATGCATCTGATTTGGGGTTGCGGCAACGGCCTGAATCCCTTGAGGACTGACCCGTGCCGACATCGTGATTGTCGTATTCATGAAAGGCATCTGGATCATTGCAAATTAAGTCAGGGCTCGTGGATATTACCACGTGCCGGGACGCGCATGCAGATCTACTTCGTTCCCTTGACCCATGACCTAGTCACGAGTCTTGTGGCGGATCAGGCTTCTGAGTGTGCCCTTTGCCGCCTTTCTTTCCTTTCCCAGCACCTTTGCCACCTTTTCCAGCGTGCCAACACTGGTGATGGCCATGACCAGGCTTCCTGCACGTCATACATATGTGCACTCCTTTCTGGCAAGCTGGCGGGGATCCCTGAGCGGACAAGGTGCACTGCCCTAGATTGAAACCCCAACAAGCGCGACGACCAGAATGATCAGTCTGATACGGGCACATGCGCAATTCGGCAGGCATGGTTGCAGTCTTCACTGGTGCCAAGAGACCTCTTTTCTTTTCCAAGGTCCGGCGTTTCTTAGCAGCTGCTGCTTCGTCATGGCTTGCACCATCATCTGCAACCTGTGCTACTCCGACTGCCTTGTTTCCCACACGTAAAGGAAGGAGATGCATCGTCACCCTGATATCGTGTTTCAACTTGTTCAGAGCAATGTCGGCCTCCATCGTCCCGTCGGATGCAACCTTGACCCTTCGAACGTCCTTGGAGATCAGGAGGAATAGTTCGCTGTCAGCCTTCAAGAGTTGGTCAACACTCACTTTTGCATAACCTGGGGGAACGTCCCGTGCAAGGGACTGCATCAAGTAAGCAACCCAGCGCTCGTGGGCTTCCCAACTTATGATCTGGTTCATGTCAAGTGCTAGTCCTCGTCTCTGAAGACACCACTGCATCTGAAGGGGAGTGCCACAATCAGCAGACTGAGACGATGGGGCCGCTGCCAATGTGACTCCTTGCTCTGCAGCCACAAGAAACTTTGATCGCTCCTTAACACCGGCTCTCAATTCTTGATCCCGCTTCGTGCACTTGGAAGGTGGCAACCAAACAATGTGATTTTGTTCAACCATGTGCGCGCATGCATCAATCAAAGAAAAAGATGGTTCCATTTCTTCTTCAAGAACCATGCCCCTCAATCTTCTCTTCTGATCCTCGATGCGAGCCTGTTTCTCTGCTATTGGCAATTTCTTCACTGCTTCCGACGGGTCGGCTGTTGCTTGCTGCTTGAGCTGCGCCACGACCAAAGTGACTGCTTCGAAGTGCAACCTCCTCAACTGGGCGGCGGTGCCCAAAGGCACCTCACCGCCACTAACTCGCCTTGCGAAGGCTGTGAATTCATCTTCAGTGGGTGGCGCCTGAGGAGTTCCACACGAGAAAGCTAAACTCGAAAAGCACTTGATTCCTGCTCTTTCCAAGGAGTTGAATAATGCAACGTCCCCACAAACGTCTTTGCAGCGACTCTTGAACTCTGCTTCAGAATCAATCAGTGACATGGCAGAAGCTACAGCCGCGGACTACGTGACACAACTCACCATGAAATGTGAATCTCGTGTTCCATGACAAGTCCTGTAATGTGCTTGGTTGTCAGGCCTCAGTAACCAATAAAATTCTACCAGCATCAGCAGCGGTCCTGAGCACACCTGCAACACAAGTCGTACAAACTCGAAGTTGGTGACAACAACGCCTCACAACACTCACTGCCACGTCCTGACACACAGCAACAATCAATACAAGACTCACAACGACTTCACCGCTCAATGTTTCCTCTTTGTCGCGAGCCCATGTCGAAGCCCTAATTTCCCAGAGCTCTGTAGCTCCTGGTGCAGTTTCCACACACTGGGGTGTCCCACCTGATGTGCGTGGGATCCTTGAGGCAATCGGTGACCTTCCTTCCACACAGCACTACGTTGTGGTAGCCATCTTTGATGTAATGCAGCATCCGAGACTTTGGGCTCGTGTGTTGCAAAAATCGAAACCCCTCCGGCGGCGTTGGCAACTGAAGGACGCGAGCGGGCCTTGGGGCAGATCCACTATCTTCGGAACTAGAACTCGAATCGGAGTCTGAACTGGTTGTTCCTTCGACGGAATCTGATGCGGAACCACTGCCCTCATCAGAGGCCCCAGAGGCCTGATCTGATTGGTCCTGCACTTCCCTCGACTGCTCGCTGGCCTCAGCGGCAGAAGGTGATGGCAGGTCTGAACTCATGATAGAAAAGACCTCGTCTTTCGGGACGCGTGGCAAGGGCCCGGCTGTGGTAGCGGGGCCGACTGGCTGAGAAGCTTCCAAGTGACCCAGTTCTTTTCCCAACTCCGAAGATGCATGCCCTTGCAACAACCGACCTGCCCTGCTTGCATCAGGAGCGAAGATTCCTTGGGATATCTCATGGATGACTCCTTGCAGCAGCCGCAAGGGCCTGGCCATTGCGTCCCTGGCATAAGTATCTGCACTCTTGGCACCATGCGAGTGCCCGCCTAAAGCCAACCTGTCCAAGTGACTCATTCCCCTTTTGGCACAATAGCTCAAGAAAGTGGCTTTCAATGAATGAGAAGTGGTGCGAAGCTCCCCGCGGTCGCTTAACAGAACACGCAACCAAGCTCCGGCCTCATCACTGTCAAGAGCCCTGACAGTGGGCTCACCCAAATGATTGGGTGCTGGCATGACGGGATGACCTGAACTCCAATTGCAACCGACTGCTTCACGGGCAGCTAGCCAGCAGGACACCCAGTCTCCTTGAATGATACCTTGCGCAGGTGCAATTATCTCCAAGGACCTAGGCAAGGGCCCTTGCAGATTCATTGTTTTGTGCACGACAATGACGCCTCCTACGAAGGCAACAGGAGATCCTGGAAGGTCCGAGTAGTCAAGTTCGAACCCGTCTAAATGCTGCATGTCAGACCATCGGCATCGGCCATATGCGCAGAACAATGCTGAGCCTGCGAAGCAACGATTCCACACGTCACCATCCTCCATAAGCACATAATGGAGTTTCTTGACATCAGACACTCTCAAGGGTTCAGCCTGTCGCACTGGTGCAGCCGCGCGGGCCACGGTGACACCCCAACATCTCTTACTTATGCAAGTAACCTCGAGGAAATCGAGCCCGAAGACAAACCTCACAAAGGTACAGCTCTCCATGAAGCCTCGGAGCTGGGAGAGAGGGGCGCCGCCTGCTTTTGCGTCATGAAGGATGTTGTACAATTCTGATTCTTCCAAAGGCATGCGCACACTGGCACGAGTAGCAATCTTGGTGAGTTTGATCAAAGAGTTTGCACGCTTCAACGACGTGGATGGTGCCTTTCGTGCAAGGCAATCAGCCACAATGCGCCTTTGTACTAACTCGTCTTGACCCACAAGATCGGCAAGGAAGGGGTCCTTCTCGCAATCCCAAGAACCGAACAAAACAACCCACTTGATAATCGAAGTCTCGAATGCAGCCTCGCGCGCATCCTTCCACGAGATGACCTGCCTGTTGATAACAACCTTCTGGAAGGTGTTACTGAAACCAACTTTGGCTTTCTTGTTAGGTGCGGGGCCGACAGGCTTCACGGTACTCTGCGGAGGCAAAGCAAATGGGTCAGGCCTGCGATCACGGAAATTTGGAAGCACACTTTCAGGCACAACCTTCGGACTAAAGAAATCAGACCAGAACCCTTCTTCCCAAAAGAACTTCGGCTCAGCATCTCGGAGACTCAAGTTTGCTGCACGCAAGTGGCTTACGAAACCTGCGGAATCAAGTGGCTGATGCTGTTGCGCCTCG